GAGATCCTGACATGTAATACAAGTGAAATAAGTGCATTGTACCCCATTCATGGTATTCTTGAAATGCATAATCAGCTAGAAATACTCAAAACGTTTTGTGGTTGCAACATTTAGGCTTCAAACAGATTGTTCTAACTCTGAAACAGGCTCTTCTGAGTGAATGAGAAGTGGCCGGATCTTAAACCATTTTGTTTCAACACTGGACCTCTTTCCATATCCTTGGAATGTCTTTGTTCTTAACAGCATCTCACAAACAGGAAAGTTAGATTCTCCCAGAGCCCCATTAATCAGGTTGAAGGCAAAGAAAAAGAGGTTAGGTTTGGTTGGAAACTGGCTGTGTGCACTTTGGCCCTCATTTATTAGTCAGTATGGTAAGGCAAGGCATCCTTGATGCCTTTGATCCTCTTTCTACCTGTCTCTTGCCTTAGGAGAGGTTGCTACCAGCTTAGGAAATATGAAAGGAATGTCCACCTGTTCTTGTTATTCAATATTTTGGAAACATCCATTCCCAAACTCATTACAATCCTGTTCTGGGGTTGACATGTTTTGGTCATTAAATGTTTTGCACATCTGTCAAATTAGGTAACTTATTAGCAATACATTCTGAGAAGTGGTTTTTTCCTAAAGCCAACCTACGTAAGAAACAGATGGTGTCCGAGCAAGATATCTTGATGCATGGCCATTTCTTACAAGGCCTCGCTAACTTAGCTTTGTGGATTTCATGAAGCTTTTATTAAACCAGCCATTATAGGGGAATATTTTTGGGTTTAATGTCAGGATAATTATTTCAGTTAGAATTATTTTTACTGGCTTGGATCCAGAGTATTTGGGAGTACAATTTAGCTCACAATACTTTTTTTTTCTTAAGGAAGAGGTAGCATGAAGCAATTATTTTTGCTTATTCTTCCGTTTGTAGCCTCCAGTGATCTCTGAAAGAGGTCAGATCCCTCTTAAGGAACATGGGTAGTAGTGTCTGGAATACTATAGGGGAACACATAAAACAGCAAATATCACTTCTCCCCATTCTTCAGCGAAAGTTTCTGCTGCACCTTAGCTTCTGCTGCAAACAGGTATGTCTTATTCCATTTATAGAAGGACTGTCTGGATCCTGTGCACTGCATCCAGTAGCTGCCAATTCCCTTCCAGTAGTGACAACAGCAAAGAACTAGCAAAGACCAGCAGTACTATTTCTCAGAGAGGCACAAATACAGCAGCATCCTTTGAAATATTAAGTGAAATGATGTAAATTATAGTGTTTTAAAAAGGTTTTGAGGTTTTTTTCCCCATATTGAAGGTTTCTAGACTATTTACCCAATCGCAGTAAGCTTTTTAACAATGGAATGGCACATATCAGCATTGTAACCATTTTAAAGATCTACATAAAAAGTGAATTATTTCTGAAGAGTCAGTGGCTACAACTCAGCAGCTAACCAGCTGGAGAGCTGTAGATCATCTGCTGATGTGGTGATGTCACTAGATGGGACAGGGCTGAAAATATAGGAAATACTCTTGGGGTTTTTTTTTTTTGGCGGGGGAGGTTAGGAATAGAAACTCTTCATATCCCCAAGGCCTACTGCTCTTGTTCCCACCATTAACCCTACTTGCCACCTCCTGGAAAATGGGCTGAAAGCATTTTAGCACTGCTAAGTTTGGCTAGTTTACCTTCTGACAATTTTAGGAGAGTTGGATAGATTTTAAGGGTGGGAATAGGATCAATTCTCATACTCCCATTCTATCCTTATTTTTGGGGGTGGGATTGAAGGAAAAATAGTTCAACCAAACTTCAACCACTTTGGCATCTCATTTTGGTGGGGCTATTTCAGGGGACTGGGGGAGTTGCATATAGGTTGGGGGTTCCCTAATCTAAATCTAGATGGAGAACCAGGGTTACTTCCTTGTTTAAGGATACCCACATTCTTAACAGAACTGAAAAATTGACCAAACAGCATATTACTAAATTGGGTAATGTGTAGTCAGTCCTACTTAGCCCCTTAGAGATTATAAGGTAAGTAGATACAGGATTTCACCCTGAATTATTAGGAAGAGCGTACAGCAGCTAGTACCCAGTTCAAAGTCTGCTCCAAGATCAGTTTGTCTAATACAGAATAAACAGGCTGCACTAGAGCTACAAGAATTTAAATTAGTACTGTATTAGCTTTGAATATGAGATTGCCCCAGGGGAAGGCAGTTCCTTCGTGACTTGTGCAAACAGGCTTACTATTCAGGTGTTAAATGTGCTTTGTGCCAGATCTGTACAGTGTTCGGCTTAATACCTTATTGTTGAAATGTGCCTAGTGGCCCCATCTGGTGGTCAATGTCTGCATTAGTTAGGAATCTGCTATCCGTGCTTTTTCCTGCATACTGTATGGCAAAAGCCATAGTCTGGGCCCATTGACATAAGCATTGTGAACACAGCACATGATCTTTTCAACCTGACTTCTGTTCTACTTGTGGCAAGAATGGTCAGTATTACTACTCCCAGATGCAGATGAAGATTTGGTTTAACTTGTGATCATCTTTTCCAAGGAAGGATTCAAAAACCCATTTTTCTCTGCAGAGATATTGTTATGGATGTATACATCCACTCTCTGAAAGTCTTAGCAAGCTGAAGATGCTGATGATTGAAGTTCTGCTGGAACTTAATGTTGATGGTGAGCAATCTCATCAGGAACCCTGAATGCTGTTATATAAATATAGGTTCATCTGACTCAATGATGTTTATACTTATAAGGCAAGAATTCAACTGGAGCAGGTGAATTATGTCAATCTTTTGCATGATAGGCTGGCTACCACAGGCACTGTTTTGTGAGAGACAAATTGTACCTCCTCAAGCATTCCCCATTTTGAAGGACTTCTCATTTGTATTTCAGTTAGTCCTTTGCTGATTTTACAAATGTTACCTGCTCTTATTTTTTGAAAATATTAGCATCTTAAGAAAGAAAAGATCAGGTAGAAGAATCAAACGTCAGAAGTTCTTAGAACCAGTTTCCTTATGTGTAACCTGTAAGGGTTTCACTGACAGTGGTGCTGTTTGTTTTCATGATCATCAAATTATCAAATCCATACATTGCATTTATCCACAAGGGAACAGAATGCCTAGTGCTCAAATTACTTATTTCAACAGGCTGTTGAAAAATAAGAATGGAGGCAGATTTTGGGAATGGGAAAGGTAACTCAATAGAGCAGGCAGAAATTGTGAGCAGGTTGCTAGCCAGTTCCAGCTGGGAGACTGTAAGTCAGGCAACTGCTGTGTACATCTGGATTGGATTCTATGTTAGCTGAGTTATGTGTTTGTCTGGCATTTAGAGGTTATCTATATGAGAGACTTTTAAAAAATCACTAGGAATGTGCACAGTGACTCAGTTATCACGCAGGATCTGTCAATCTCTTCCAAGCTGGCTGGGTGTCTACAAGGAAATGTTTTCCACCCAATGCTCAATGTTACATTGCAGTGATTCCTTGCCTTCACATCCCCAAGCTATATGGCTTGCAAGTGGTATATGAATGGATACTGCTGACCTATCATAAATTGTACCAGGTTTCCACTGAATCCTAAACTCTGCCCTGCACTATTGTGGAAGCAATAGTCTGAGGACAAATCAAAGTTGCTGCTGCTGCTACCTTGTACAAAGCAAGATTAAACTGTGGAATTCATCATCATACAAGAGTACTACAGGCTGCTGCCAATTAAAAAAAAAAAAAGGCTCCAAGTCATGAGACTAACTGGAATTTGCTCTGCGCTTCCCACCCCAGCCTCATGAAAAATATATCCTTCAGAATATGGGTTGCCTCCATGATTTAGTAGAATGTCCATGTGCGTCTACCCTGGCCACAGATGGAACCAGAATGCCAGAGTCTTTTATCAGCAGAGATACTCATCTAACCTTTAAAAACTCTTCTAACAGTTTCGTTGCATTTTAAAGATTAATGTGCCTATTACTGTCTAAGCTGTCATGCTTCCTAGTTTACATCATCAGACGCATAGAGTTCAGTTCTGCGAGAGCATCACAGAGGTGCTGTTTGGGACAAGGGAGCCCAAGGGGGGAATGGTGAAAGTAAAAGTGGGAAGTGAGCTATGACCCAAAAAGACTTACTGTACGTTATATTCTGCAATTTTTTAAGGTGCCACTAGACTTTTTTTCATATCAGAGACTAAAACAGTTGCCCTTCTGGAAAAGATTGTAGTCATTAAAGAATCTCACATCATTAGACTCAGCCTTTCCAACTCCGGCCCCCTCCAATTCTATAATTCACATCCAACAGGCTGAGCGTGATGGGGATTGTACGGGAGTCTAATACCTGTGGAGAGGCTATTCAACAGTACCTCCAGACCAAAAGCTGCCAGAAGCCATCTGTCAGTTTTGGACTCCTGCAAGAAAAATCAAAGTTTTCATTTCTAGGAAGCCCATTGGAACAGCTGGTACCCACTTATCATCTGGCTAAATATCAACCAAGACAGTGCTGTGAAGTGTGTGACAAGGACTGTTCATGAGGATTAAGCCCATCTCAGAAAGAGCTACTTAAGCTGGAGCAAGGCCATTTTTACCAACATGCATCTGTGCAGGGAATCCTTGGTTTTTGAGTGAGGAGAGCAGGCTAATTCTAACACAACCTGTAACAACTGACAGTTCCATGACTTTCCAGTAGTCTTCAAATTTGGCTTTTATACATAAATTTAAATGGAATCCAAGTGAATGGCAAATAAAGCAAAATCAAGATGTGTATCAGGCAAGTTTGATGAGCACCATGCCAAATACTTTAGTGTATGGGATTAGCTTGGAACAGACTTTTTGGAGTCTAGTGACTTTAAATGATAGGGGGAAAAGCTGCCTCTGAAGAGTGAAAGACAAGAGTTTTTTTCCCCCTTCTGTTTTCAGAAGCAGGCTAGGAGCACTGGTGCCCCCAGCCTTCCTCTACTGTGCTAGCCCCCTTCCAACTGGCACATGAGCCTAATGAATCTCAGATCAGACCTGAATTCCATCTCATCTTGTGCATCCTGATACAGATGAACAGACTCTTCCCACCTCATTGTTTGTACTTTATCTCCCATGGGGGGAAGCTATCCTATTTCCTAGCCCAGATCTCATTGGCAACGCAGTATGTTTATTCCTGCTATGTGCTTCTCAAAGACACAGCTATGATAGTCCCACTCAAATGCTGGCAGAAGCATTTGAGACAAAGCCCAACATCCATCTGCACTGTAGCTGCTATGGGACAGTGACTGGCCACAGCAAAGAAGCTGGAGATGTGAATGCCATCTAACAGAAGCCATTTAAAAAGGATGCAGAAAAGAGGGAGAAGCAGTGCTATTCTTTCCTTTTGATTGTGGGGGCCAGTTGATTTGGGCCATCATCATTAGCACTCATTTTCACCAGCCTACTGGAATGATGCTACTGCTCTTTGTAAAGCAGCTCTGAAAGCTTTTGGGGTGAGTGCTTCCCTTTTAGAATGTCTATTTAAAGACAGACAGCATTCTAAAAGATTTTTAAAGATTCCTCAGAACACTTCTAGTAACTTTAATGTTTGAGTCCATGATAGTGAGAATTAATAATGGAGGGATGTGAAGAAACTATCTTTCAAATATCACACGTCCACTGCACTGAACTAGACATCCAGTTCAGCAGTCATTGCAGAATCCCTGAGTGCCTATTAAAATGAAACTGCTGGCTCCATGCAGCTTATCGTCTGGTTCAGCTTCACGTATAGGACCTTTTCCAGCTATCTAGACTGCTCCGCAAGAGCAGAGTGAGCAGAATGTATGCCAACTCGAGAGGTAGACTACTGCTGTCATCCCATGCACATCCTTTCTAAACTGCAGCTGTGGCAGGGCACAGGTCTGGAGGGAAATATCCAAAGCTTAAGAGAATTAATGGGCAGTAAAGTTTTTCAAGGGCACACAGCAAAAGAAGCTAAAATAAGACAAAATCTTGTAGGCTACAGATGGTTTCTTCAATATTGCTCTGGATATGTTCCCCCCTGCCCCCTAATATGTAATGCAGATTCTCCAACCCCTTCCACAGGCTCATTCCCTTCTTTCCCTTATCAGTTCATTAACTGTAATTAATAGCTCTAAACACACCAGCATGCACACACAATTTAATAGTATTGATATATTTTATCTTAAAGACAATTTACTTGCAGAATACAAAAATATGTCCAAGGAGGACATGGTGCCTGGTCTCCCTAAGAGGTTTCCAGTGCCAGGACACAGGAAACAGCAAGGCTTAGCAGAAGCCTCACTCTCTCTGCGCTTGAGGTATGATCCAGTGGTCCGCAAGCTCCATATCCTACCTGGAATTAGTGTTTTAGAGATACAGTAGGTGAGCTGAGGCTGTAAGATGTAAGTGAAGAAGTCTTCTCAACTACTGGGGAATTACAGTAATGGATTGTGGCACAGGGGAGAGGCCCAGTATTTGAGAATGAGCACATGAGTGAAAGAATATAAATAACAAGAGGGAAGCATTACAGGCATTAACTGGGCCAACCCTAGGAGGTAGGTCAGCAGGACAAAATTAGTCAAGACAGACATTAAGAAGGGTATGCCCATACCTAGACAACAAGGGACTCCTGCTGCTGCCCCTCCTCCTGGAAAGAGTCCCCCAAATTTTGAAAAAAAGTACTTTGAAAAGAGGAGCTTGCTATAGCCAGCCTAAAAGGAGAATATCCCTAGGAATAGTGGGGTGGAGGAGAAAATGCCACTGATCTAGTGATTCAGTACAGTCCCATCCCCTAGAAGAGAAAACACACATAATAACCTTTGTACTGTCCACACATCACGAGTTGGCAGGGATTAAAAGCCCAGATATAGAACTAAAACGGGCAGGGTGGATAAGGCTGAAAACCGCATGTGGTTCTGAGAGAGTAACATTCAAACAGCAGAACGTGCCAGACCTATCCATGGAAGCAGGTACTCTGGTTAGATGTTACATGTATGTGCTATACATGTTCTCTATAGCTGTTGACTATGCTGTGAATTACTTCCCAGTCATAACATTTGAGGCCACTGATCAGAACAGATCCGAATTCAGCAATTGATATCAGCAGTTGTACTTCACAGTTGGAAGCTGTTTAACAACTGATCTCTCCTTGGACACATCGAATACATGTTGGTAAAGGGATGGAGAGAAAATTATTTCCTAACCCAGCTTGTGCTAACCTCGAGCAGAAGCATCACTGTTGCATGTTCTACCTAATGTTTAAGTTACAAGGATCAAGGGGACAAGTGAGATGCTCCCAAATAGGAGGGGCTGTCTGTATGTGTCTTGTACCAACACAGATGACAGGTGGACTGGTAAAGGGTGGTCAAGCTTTCAGAAGAACCAGGGAGTGTGTCTCCTTAGGCACCAACCTGCTCAGAGCAAATATGCAGAACTAGGAGTTTTACTGAAATCCCACTTCTCTCAAGGTTTTATTAGAGCTGAAAAAGCCAACTCTGTCCATCCCTATTTCATTCAGCTCCCGTGTGAGTATCTGATTCTCAAAGAAAACTGTTTGTCATCCATCTAAACTTGAACCAATATTTCAGTTATGATCTCTCTCAAACCAGAATAAGCTTAGAAATCCAACACGCAGCAGCCATACCTCTCTAAGAATAGCAAACTGTATGAAGCAACTGGTAGCACCTAGCTCAGACAAGGAAACACAGCAAACTGAATGGCTTGGTTGTACCCAGGGCTGAGGGAATCTCCAACAAGAGGGGGCTGGAAACAAGCAGCAGCAGCAGAAATTCTGCCCCCAGTTCACATTACACTCCAGTCAATAATGCAGATTACTTATTGCTCTAGGATCCCTCCCATAAGTGGGCCCAGGATCAAGGGAAGGGCGCTGCAGTGTGCCAGATTCACCACTGGTCTGTCCATAGGTTCTGTGGGTGGGGTCCAGCAAGTTTACAGTTCTAGTAGCGCCCAACCTTGGCATCTCCAATACTTCCCCAGACGTCAAAGACAAACTCATCTGGGAAAGCAAAATCACCCAGCTGCTCATCCAATGCCTCTGCAAATTCATCAGGATTCTGCTTGTCCTTGCCCAACTCCACCATGGTAGCAGCTACAGAGGAAGAAAAATCAGAAATAAGCATCAATTCTATCCCCAAACACTTTATAGGGCTATATGCCATAGTTTATAGGACTAAACATAAATCTAAGGAAGGACACAAGGAAAGCCTCACATTTATTTCTATTCCTAAGCACAGTAAAAACAGGTAAGAGTAGGCTGTGAACAGCCACAAGTCACTAGTTGTTATCTCTTAACAGTTTAGCATCCAGATTAAAGAGAGAACTCACCTAGCTCTGTGTCACGGATACCCATGTAGCTCTCCAGAAGATCGTCAACCTTCTCAATGGCCTTTTCCTCAAATGCAGAAGGCTGTGAAAAAAAAATACACTGTGGCAAAGACAGCAACGATACTTCCCTTCTGTTAACCAAAAAAGCAATCCACATAACTATTCCCACTAAGACAGGATTGATGGTGGCTGCAGTGCAGCAGAATACCTTGGTAGAGATAGGAAAAAATAATTAAAGGAAACAATATGAAAGGGGGTTGAGGGGGAAGAGTTCTGATCCAGGATCCACAACTGTAAGCTCTGTAGAGCAGCCAATCTTTATTATTGCTTACTGCTAATCCCCTTGCCCCTTCCCCTTTTTTTTTTTTTTGCTGCATAGGAGAGTAAGGAAGAAAGGGATGGCATGTAAAGATGAGGCAGCCGAAGTGATGCTTGGTCTGTGGTGAGACATCCTTTTCAACAAAGCTTTATGGCTATCTTATTCTTGGATGGATGGAAGAAAGAACTCCAGTTTCTCAGCAGAGCTACTTATCTTTCTGACCAGTATAGCTGGCGCCAGGGAGCACATACCTGCTCTTCCACAGTGGCTGGTCCCTTGGCCCGAAGACGCAGAGTGCCCCTTCCTGTGCCAAGTTGAGCACATCCACTGTTTTTGCCTCCTTTGGACCTCTGACTGATCATGTCTGGAACAGAATAAGAAAATGTTTGCTGAGGTTTTGTTTGGTCTGCACGGCAGAGATCCCAGCTTAAAAAACCAACACAGCAGGGCCTACTTTCATGTCCCCATGCTAGAAATGCATGAAAAAGACACTTGTTCCTGGCTTATTTGTCATTAGTCAGTAATATGCAGTCATAATCAAGTGCTGTTTTTCAGTTTTGGGGCTTGCCACTGCTGACCCACGTTTATGAGGTTTGCAGCAACTTGCCAACATCATAGAGATACTACCATATGTACAGACTCTGAGCCAAACGGATAAGATTTTTCATTATTACCATAGACTGAAATGGTTATTAATTTAAACTCAAACAAAAGAACATCAGAGTCCAAATCTCCAGCAAAGAACATTAAATCCTTTGATATCACTGACTACTAGTAAAAAATGCAGCTTCAAAAAATGTTAATTATAATAGTCTGGAAAGAACCATTATAAAATATATATTTCAAAAATGTAAGCACACTTGTAGGAAATAGACTGTCAGTGGAACTGGGTAGGCTGTTCAGGATAATATGTGAGAGATAATATATACCCATCAAAATGTAAAGGGGAAGATCTTTAGAACATAAAAAGAATCAGAATGAGCAGTACCAATCACAGGACAATATACCCACAATGGGAAGAGTGGAATGCCAGAGAATCTGATTTATAAGTGATACTTCTACAAAAGTTACTATCTAATGCAGGCCTTTGCTCTCACTCATTCCAAAATAGGGAAATGTTAGTAATAATCAAGTTTACTTACCCCAATAGTAACTTCCATATATGTAGTTCTACAATCCTTTCTGGCATGGCCTGTTATAAATCTGAGTCTACTTAAGAGTGCAACTTCATCTTAAGAACAAATTGGAGTACCTATGCCAAAGGTGAAGGTAAAACACACCAGGGCCAAATTATGACTATTGTGGGCCCAAGGAACTTTTGCCTTTATGGACCACTCCCTCCATAAAAAAAATAGTATTACAAATTATATTTTATATGATTTCAATATTTTCTTCACATTTTTACAAAGAAATAGGGAATAGTAAATAATCTAAGTATTATTTAATAATAATAATAAAGTATTGTGGATTAATTATGTCTATCATGTATCATCATTACTAAATTTTAGTATTCACATTTTTGTGGGTCCTAGGCACTGTGTCTATTGTGCCTAACAGAGAAGTTGTTCCTGGAGCACACATGGTAAGTTAGAACATAGTGCTACTTCCAGTGGAACAAAAAGGAAATCTGTAGTTTGCCAACAGATCCACATCTCTTCAGAAAGGAAAAGGGCCAAAATCCAGCATAATAATTAACCAAAGGCAGCATTACCAAAAAAGTTAAGTAGATGCAACACATGGAAATGTTTGCATATTTAAAGAAAGGAGTCACAAAGAGTTTGCACAAGTTACTTGTCATGGTTCCAGGTATCACTGCATATCTCCTATGAGAAGAATGTGTACTCCTTGACAAATTGCAGTCCCCATTTCCTTTGGGTAGCCTTAGCAGACTCTTTCCATCTTCAGGACAAATTTAGATGGATCCTTCAATTAAGGATAACTTTACCACTGCCAAGGTTTGCTGGAGGGGAAGAGAACTAGCACTAAAATGTGTCCTTGCTCATTTCCTCTAAACAAGATTTGAAGTGGTGAAACTATGAGCCATAGAGTCCTAATCTCCTTGCTATTTCCCTTGTCCTGCAATCACTTGTACCTTCACTGCCATCACTAATTTGCACTCATTAATCTAGTAGCAGTTAAGGGCCTGTTTTTTGCATGTACCTCCCTAAAAATGGATTGGCTGAACATTATTAATAGAACTGAAACAGCTTATTTCCTAGCGATTCCTGTTAGGGTACTTGTAGAATTTATTTTCTGATCTCCAGATAGATTACAACAGAAGTAATATTTTTTAAAGAAAAGGATTAACCCCAGCACGTTTTGCATTGTAAAGGGAGCATTTCATTTCAAAGGGGAGAATAATATCAGATATTGTTCTGGAATTCTATTTAGCATGCTTGATAAGGGTCCAACTGAGAATATTCCATTTACACAGTCATTCTGATTGAACTTCTATTTCTATGGGTTCTTGAGGCGATATATTTTCCTTCCTTCTCTCCGCGCCACCCCCCGCCCCGGGTCATAAGCTCTTTTGAAATGGGCAAAGAAATGGTTCTTCTTTAACTGTACTTGTATTAGAATATTTGGTAACTCATTTTCAAAGGATAAAACTAGTTTCTTGCAAATTGCTGCTATCTGTAACTGTCTTGTGGAGAATGCCTTAACAACATAATACAAATTATAAAGGCAAACATGTCTGTATATTCTTAAGGCTGAGGCATGTTCTACTTCTGGATATTTCATTTCTATCTTAATTAGATTTCTATAAAAGTTAAGTAGAAACAAGATTTAAACAAAGTATATGTTTCTTCTGAGCCTGATTTTAAATATCTGTCAGGCAAGCTGGCCTTTGAATGTACTGCCTTGAACAAGCTGAAATTTTTAATACTTCTGAGAAGAATGCCAGCTCCCAAATGAGAATTTTTTTATAGTTATTTGTAGCTTAAGAATTTTTTTGCTCACTATCTGTTCTCCTGAAATGGGATGTTCTATTCTCTTTACTTAATTTCTCTCAGGTTAGTAGAAAGCATAACTTTCTATAGGTGAACACTGTCCCATTAACCCTTAAAAGAAAAAATTGTGGAACCAGACTCCAAGTTTGAAAAGATGGGCAAGATGAGTGCAGATACAGAAGTGATTTCAAATCCATCAACTAAAACATTTCTCTCTTTTGCAACCATTGATGCTAACTACAAATGGAGAGCAAATTAAGAAATATATTGTAGCATTAGTCTCAAATCCAGTCCCTGATTTTAGTCATCTATTGAAGCAATAAAATGCTCACAAAAAAAAAAAAGAAAAGAAAAAGTTACCAATTATTTTTAGTGTATTTGTGGTACTCACTTAGCCGAATCAAACATTACATAAATATTGTTCCCTAACAAAGTAATCTTCATACTAGTTCAAATCACCACTTTAAACAAAAGCTGATATTCAGCAATGACTCTAGAGCAGCTTTCAGAAAGGAATGAAACAAATTCTGAGGCTTTCAAATGTGTTTTGTTCCCTAAAAAAAAAGCACCCAATCTATTCTAAGTTATGGGAGGTAGCTCCAAGTGTGTGGTCTTGGAAAAAGAACTGGCAGGTTAAAGTTCCAATTGGGATTGGAAGGACACACTATTCTAGGAATGTAGCTGGATGACACATAAATTCTTTGTCATGACGTTTCAAGAATAGTTTAAGTTGCCAGATTGCAAAATAAACATTATAAAGTAGATGTGATGATTACAGCAATCTCTGGGTAAGTATGTTTATCAAGTGCCAAGCAGACTTCAAAAATCACATCTGGGGGTATATCTAGAACAGGCATTTGAGCTGGAGAGTAGATTTTTATATCCCTACCACAGAATTGTTAGAGACTAGAGAAATACTATCAAAGCTGGAGTAAATGTTGAAGAAACCGCTGCAAGATCTATTGCCAATGTAGTTACAAACTCAGAATCCGAAATTGTTAAGAAAAAGTAACAGACTATTCTAGAGTGAAAGTTGGCAGCCATCCTTTATGTCTCTAGCTCTTCCTTTATAAAATGAACCTACGGTATAACTTTACTTATAATGAAATTGAGATGTTGTATTGAGTCATACTTGTATCAGCCAACAACATAATTCCAGAATGAGATAAGAGTAACAGACCTGGTCTTGATTCTAAGGATCAGTATGCTTCTTTTGTCTTTATTTATTTTCACAAATATCAGCTCTTCGGCATTTCAAATAGGATTCTTTCCAAACCTTATCTAACAATGCTGGGGATTAGGCTGGCAAAGTGCAAAACACATACCACATTCTACAGTCCTTCCCTATATGGCCTCTTCCTGTAGCTAAACAAAAGAGAAAATACATAACATGAGCTTTAGATGTGTTATGTGTATACCAACTAATCATACACTTGAATTGCTTCTGAGGAACTGGAAGTCAAAACCACATATGCCCTTTGCTTGTTTATGCATACACACTTGTAATACTGTCTTTATTTTATTTGTGAGGTCCTCCAAAGGGTATCTTGTGGCATGGAATGCTAGTAGATGATTATGCATTTCCTTACTATCATGTTCTTGGTATGCTATTTATTGCTATTTCATGATCACTGTTAACTTTGTGAAACTATCTTAATAGCGTTAACTATACTGACTGAGGATTTGCAAAGCCTAGTTATTTGGGGAAAGGGTATTGCTTGCTTACAGCTTCTTGGCACCACCTTCAACAGGTAACCGTCTGGCTCCCTTCCCCCTTCAATTCATACATATCCTGGGAGGCTTCCAGCATTCCGTTATCCACCAAGTGTAGACCAGCATGTTATGAACTGTGGTTCTGCCAGATTTAAGAGCAAGAAAGCCTGTGATTTGGGCAGAAAACTGTTCCTGGACATGATGGTGAAATCAGGCCCCTCTAAATATCAAACGTAATTTGCCAAGTGGCAAGAACCTACAGTAGGATACACCTGAACCAAAGCTACCCCTTGAGAATCAGCACATTCTTGGCAAATAAAAACAGGATGCAGATTTAGCAAGCAACCCCTCTATGTCCTGTCTCATTGCTTATTACTATACTAAGGGAGATTCATAAGCTGTGGTCTTCAAGCAATACCATAGGCTCTTATAAGGGATACAGATCCCTTTGTAGGAGTGATTCCTGCCATTTCCCCTTTGTAATATGCATACTTTGTAGCAAAAGGCTCTTTCCCTTCAGGAGGACAGAATTCATCTTAGGCAAAGGCATTTCATGACCAATAATTTATATATTAAAGGCTCTAATTATAAACACAAATAGAGATGGAAGGGAAAATTATTCAGCTTAGTCCAACTTAAGGGGACACCCTAAATGGGCCTCTTCTTTGCAAAGCTGGGAATGCACAGACAGAAATAAAGC